TCCCCGACACCTTAAAGGCCGATCCGTGAAAATATTGTCGGGCATAAACCGGTCCGTGGCGCAAAAAAGGTTGGGGACCGCTGCTCTAATATATTCTGCATTAATTTTTTTTTCCTTTACCAAAAATATAAAGCGCCTTGAGGCAACTGCTTCTGTGATTTGGTGCTATATTTAAAAAAATAAATTAATTAAATAAATATAAAAATTTTTGAGGAAGAAAAGGAAAAGAAGAGATTTTCTAACTCCATTCTACTAACTCTGCTCTCTTTTCTAGAGATTGGCAATGCATATGCAGTACTCAGCAACGCAGACAAACGACGGCAGTATGACCTGACAGGAGGAGAGGAGCCGAGCAGCCCAAGTCACTCACATGGCGCAGGCTTCGACTTCCACAGGGGCTTCGAGGCTGACATCACTCCTGAGGACCTCTTTAACATGTTCTTTGGAGGCGGCTTCCCATCCTGTAAGTGTGCGCATCAGCACATAAGGACACAAATGCAGAAAGAATTACTTGTTCTAAAAAAATTTTTGTTTTTTTAAAATATATTTTTTAATTGGTATGGATTTCTGTTAAGGGAGACATGAGAAATGTCATTTTGTAAAGAAATTGCATAAAATGTTCAAAATATTAAAAATCGACTGGTTGTTTGGGTACCTGGTGACAAAGGTCATACCCTTGTGTCTGACCTCAGCTGTGATATTTTAATATTCTGCAGCCAATGCACACACTTTCACCAACGGCAGGACAAGTTACAGCCATCAAACGGATTACAGGCAAGAGAGGACAGAAGAACGAGGAGATGTACGTAGACTGCTCACAATTTCTGTCTTAAATTTCTAGAATTCTTTTTTAACACTTTTCTGTTATCACAATTTTTGTTGACACTTGATGGCTCTATAAGCTCTGTACTAATTTTAACATACTCTGTTTGCCTCTAGGGTGGTTTTTCAATGTTTATTCAGCTGATGCCCATCGTGGTCCTGATTTTGGTGTCATTGCTGAGCCAGATGATGGTGTCTCCTCCACCCTACAGTCTCTATTCTAGACCGTACGTGTACACACTCTGTCATTACTGACACCTTTATACATGATAAGGTGTAATTTCATGCATTACTTGGAAAATTTAGCACAAAGAGTAGTCTTGTAAGACATGTTCTGTGCTCATCTGAGCTTTTTGAAGGCTTTCTTGAAAATTTAGTTCAACTGTGCAATTTGCACAGCTGGGCCCATATGGTTGTTGTTTTTTGTTTTTTTTTCTTTCTCTCACCCTCTCTTTCGCACTTTTCCGCTTCACTTTTCCGAGCCTTGTGCTTTGCACTGGGAAGGGGGGGGGGCGGTAGAGACACTCGCAGTAGCGCAGGAACAGAGCAGGAGGGAAAGAGAGCCAGGGACAACTATTTTCAGTTGCGGATGATAAAGGATTCAGAAAGTTTATTCATGCAGGCCCATATGACAGAGAATGTGCATCTTTTTGTTTTCATATTTTTTTCATATTGCATTGTGGTCTTCTTAGAGTTTTGAAACAAAATGTGTCACCATATGTGGAAATTGCTGCTGTTAAGAATTTTTTACCTAAGCTTGTGCCTCCCATCTCCTCCAGGTCAACAGGTCAGACCATAAAGAGGCAAACAGAAAACCTGCATGTTGACTACTACGTCACCAGAGATTTCAAGTCAGAGTTTAAGGGCTCAGCACTGCAGCAAATTGAGAAAAATGTAGAGGAGGACTATGTATCAAATGTCAGAAATAATTGTTGGAAGGAGAGACAGACGAGTAAGTAACCACAGTTATAAATTCACACTCAGAATAGTTTGTGCTCTTGAAAAAATGTGACACAGTTTCTTCCCCCGTCTCATCCAGAAACAGACCTGCTTTACGCCGCTAAGGTATACCGGGATGAGCGAATGCGCAAGAAGGCAGAACTCATGACCATGGATAACTGCAGGGAGTTGGACAGACTAAATAACCTCTTCAGAGGTGGATGAAATGGATGCTTTTAGGTCTTGTAAATCTATATGAATAGATATGTATGTTCATTTTTTTTATTTTTATTTTTTTTTTTATGAAGAGTCTTCAAACTTTAGGGCACTTGAAGATATAATTTAGCTCTATTGTTGTGCTTTTCCCCCCTCCTACTCTCATCCTCCTCCTAACTTTTCTTCTTCCTCATTCCACATTCCACTTTGGCCCTTGGAATCGCCTTGTTATGTTGTAAATGACCAATCTACACACAATATAGAACGTCTCAGATGTTTTTCTTTAAAAAAAAAAACCAAACAAAGAAAAAAAACAACTCTTATTTAAGTGTGTTTTCCTTAAAATGGGAAAGAAAAGGACACTTGATTGTAAAAGGCATGTGCGCTTTGAGTAGTGACAACCTGAGAGGCATTCTGCACAAGCAAATTAATGTTAGACCAACAAGCTGCTTCTGGCATCATCTGCTTGTCATAAACATCAAATGGGAAACAATAAGTTCACCTGGAGGTGTTGTCCCCACACACAAATCAGTTTCTTCAAGAATCACATTTAAGAAAAAAAAGAGAGAGAGAGAGCGAATGCTTGTCTTGGCTCCTTACTCACCTCCACCTGTGGATGAAGATCCCTGGATCATGAAGAGTCATCACTGACTTTGCTACTAGAGAACATTTTATATCGTCCAGTCTAATATGTGACTTTGGTTGGAACTAAAGATGAACGGACAGTGAAACTGTTACTCATAACTGGTTGTACATTTTCATTTTTGAATGTTTAAAGTTTATGCAGTTATTTAAGTAACTATAGAAGGAAAAGGATTTTTCTTCAATGCTCGCCTGATCATTTAAATAAAATCAAATTATTAACATATCCTGAAGGAAACTGTCTTTGAATTATGATGAAGAGTTCGGCGGTTCGAATCCACTTAACGGCTACCCTGAGGTACCCCTGAGCAAGGTACCGTCCCTACACACTGCTCCCCGGGCGCCTGCTTAGTGGGCTGCCCACTGCTTCACTGAGTGAATGGGTCAAATGCAGAGAAAAACAAGTAATTTCCCCATGGGGATCAATAAAGTATCCATTAAGTTGGTTTAAATTACACAAAAACCTCCTCTCATATATCAAGTGGTGTGTGCTTTTAATGGATCTACTTTTTTCCTAACATAATTTAATGGTTAATGTTAATTTTGTACATATGTATTTTACAACTGACAGTAAGCTTAACCAGTCAGGCGTTTGACCTCAGATTTGCACTGGGCCTAGTTCTGTGAAAGATGTAGACTAGCTACAATCTGGTTGCTCCCAATATTTTCACAGTCTGTAACAGGTAATCAGGTAGGCTGTGGTAGTTGAACTGTGGTGTTTAGTTGGCACTAAGGGAGTGCAAAGAAAATATAGTAATAATATATGCTTTTGTTTACGCTAAATTCTTGACCCTACCATCCAAATGCTGCTGCTGCAGAAATTTGGATTGATCAGACCGGGCAATGTTTTTCCTATTTTGGTGACCCTGTGAAAATTGTTGGCACAGTTTCCTGTGTTTATGTGACAGGAATGGCACCTGGTGTGGTCTTCTGCTGTGTAGGCTACTTGCATAAAAGTTTGAGGTGTTGTGCAGAACACACTGAGCTCTTGTATACTTTTCACATATAATTATGTAAAAGATTTTTTTAAAGTTAATTATATTAAGCCCTTGAGTGCATTTTATTTTACTTTATTTCAGAAGTATGTGTAATAGCAGAGTTTCTACCAGTAGTTGGTACTACAGTCTGCTGTGACCCATGGACGATGTAAGGCGAAGGTACGTTACGAAACATAGTTTAAAAAAAATATTATTTTTAACATTTCTATAACATTTAAATTACATAAATTTGAACGTTGATTCTGGACCGAAGTAGAGACGGCGATACAGACTAGTGATGTGTCGGTCGCGAACGAAACGGATCTTAGAGCCGACTCTTTGAAGTGAACGACGCGAGCTGGCTTTTTATTGGGAGCCATGGGGGGGGGGTTTCTTTTTGTTTTTTCTCTCACCCTCTCTTTCCCAATTTTTTCCGCTTCACTCCGCAAGCGAGCCTTGTGCTTTGCACTGGGAAGAGGGGGGAGGGGCAGTATCGTAGGAACAGAGCAGGAGGGAAAGAGAGCCAGGGACAACAACATCACATTAGAAAGGTATAGTAATCATCCACAACTATTTTCGGTTGCGAATGATAAAGGATTCAGAAAGTTTATTCATGCAGGCCCATATGACAGAGAATGTGCTGCATCTTTTGTTTTCATATTTATATTTAATTGTGTTGTGGTTTGCAGTGTTTTATGTTGTTCCACTTTAAATTTGTTTCAAAGGAAAAAGCTGAAAATTTTAATAGTTAAAATTTGAAATTTAAATAGGTTTTTTTTTGTATTATATGATATATTTACTACATTTTATGTGGAGTAAATAAATAAAAGTATATTTATGATGGCCCCTAGAGAGGCAGCACATAAAAACTCCGAAGCATGCACAAAACACAACAGAAGTGCCCCAGGATGCTAGGGGCAGTGTTGAGCTTTTGTTACCTAGTGGCTACACAAGCCACGAAGTACCAACGACCGGATTTGGTGTGTGGTAGTAACAGGTAAATGAACTTTTTTTTTTTAAATTATTTGAATATATCATATGTGCTTTGGAGTTTGTACGCGCTTTGTCTCTAGCGGCCACCGTATATATTTATATATAAACATATATAAATAAAACCACTTTTTTTTTTTTTTTTTACATTAGTAATTCCTTTTCTGCATAATTTTATATTGTTAATTAAAACAACCTGAAGATTCGGATCTTTTTAGTGAGTCCAGCCGAAAGAGCCGGAAATCCCATTACTAATTTTTTTTTCAAACTTTATTTGAAATTATAAAGCGAACAGCCAGTCATTCCAGTTCAGTTTGTACAGTAGACATACAGGGCAAATAAGAGTAAATCCCATTTCTAATATAGACAGCGCACTTTTTCTTTTAACGTCACCATAATTTGTTTACCAGCGGTCACGTGACACCACCAAACCCGGAAACGACATCATAGCTCATGCCACCTATGTGTTTTCGGAATGAAAACAAGCTAGTGTGACAGTTAAAATGCTATCAAGACAACGTATTTAGGAATTAATCAAAACCAATGTGCAAGAAAACGCTGCTTTTTGGCCCTGACGATAAGTAGACCATGAAGTACCCCAGCTACATCTGTGTCTTTCTGTTGGGTTTCTGCTGTTGCGGATATTTTTCACGAGTGTCTGCTAGCAATCACGAGCCGGAGACTCCAGACTGGAGGATGACTCTAAAAACTATTCGCAACGGGATCCACAAGATTGACACGTACTTGAATGCAGCACTGGACTTGTTTGGTGGGGATGACGGACTGTGTCATTACAGATGTAGTGATGGTAAGCTAGGTCATTACTCCAGCTTTCAAGCTCTTTCTCCAAGTTAAGAATGGGTTTATGACATCTAGAGTGTGTAATTTAGGAATTTCCCTGTTATTAGTCAGGCTTGTAAATTAATTATTTATGCCACAACTTTCTCTTAGATCAGCTTGAAAAGGGTTTGCGTTAATTTAATAGTTGGCGCGACCATCTTCAGTCCTGTGTAGAAGTCTCAAACAACCCTCATCTCTTCATACTTTCTTATGAAAAGAATGAGAAATGAATGCAGAAATGAATGAATTGAAACATGTGCAAACATACATGGAAATGCAGTATACAACGCAAAAACATAATTTGGTATCACCTGCATTATTCTTGAACACAGCCTGAACTCTCTTAGATAAGTTTTCTTATAATTTCTTTGGGTCGTCTTTGTGAATATTTGTCCAGGCTTCTTGAAAGACATTCAAAGCTCTTTTCTGGATGTTGGCCTTTCCTTCTGTTCTCTCTCAAGATGATCCCACACTGCTTCAATAATTTTGACATCCGGGATCTGAGGAGGTCAATCCATGACTGATTTTTTTACACTTTGTTTTTCTAACCAGGTATGCTTTACTAAATTGGTACTGCATTGCCAATCAGACGCTTTCCAGATTATAATGCATGGTGGGTCAAAATGTGATGGCAATTTACTGCATATTTCCATCAGTTTCGAAAAGACCCAACACCACTGGCTGAAAAACATCCTCAAAGAGCTTCCAGTTTGTTGTACTGATGGTTGTAGACACTCCCTGATGTACCTCTTTCCTGACCACCTCTGTATGTATTGACACCCAAAACATTTAAACTTGGATTTTTCACTCCACGAGACCTGTTCCCACTAATTTTCAGTCCAGGTCTTGTGTACCTTGGCATACCACAGCCTTTTCTTCCTGTTTCCCTTAATTAAGATTGGCTTCTTGACAGGCATTATTCAGCTGAGACAGTTTTAGATGAGGCTTCAGCAAACAATAGATGGTCAGCTGATGCAAGATGTATCTCTCAGGTCCTGTGTTAGTTATGTCCTTTAAAAATAGCTAAAACTTTTAAGATACTGTACATCAGCTGTAGAGAGGCTTTTTCATGCGTGCCACTACTTCTTCTGTCCTGCACTTGTTGAGTTTCCCCAATTTTTTTTTTTTTAAGGATTCCCTGAACGCCATACTGGTTTTTAGCTAATAGCTCTTTGGGATTCAACTTATGGATATAAAAATACAATCATAGGCTTGTCAAGCTGTGTTATCTTTAGCATTTTAACAGATTCAATTATAGTAATGGGAACAGAAGCCTGTTGTATTTTTGCAACAAAGAGGCTAAAAATACATTTTCATTTGGTGCTTCTTTGCTAAGTTAAGCTTCTTTTTTTTTTGCTCTTTTTTTGAGTTAAGACCCTTTTTTTTGCGTGAATGGTGAAAATGGCCAGGTCCAAGGCTTGGATTCAAGATGAATGAAAAAGCAGAAAGACTTTTGAAAGACTTTCAGAAAGGCCAGAGAACTATTGCTCGAGACCACTTTAAAAATGACAAGAAAGTCTGGGTTATTGAAATTAAAATATAAAGAAATGAGGGGTGTTTCAAGACATTTGCACAGCACTATCTGTGGCACCGCTAGCCTTTTTTAATTATCTGTAAACATGTAACCTCTGACTGCAAGATAACAGATAGTTGAAGAGTAAGAAATCTTATCAACTTTGCTCCTGTCTCAAAGGGTACAAGCCGGTGCCTCGTCCCGGGTACAAAAATCCACCGCCCAACGGATGTGGTTCCCCCCTGTTTGGAATTCAGGTAGTTCAAAGCGTGTTACCATGTGCATCCAGCATGCTGAAGGGCATCATTTTGTATATCATTTTATTTGTCTTATTTAAATACATTGAGTATACACACAGAAATAGACACGCAAGTCCATAGTACAAGCTGCAGTTTGTGTAAAATGTAGCTAAACTGCTTAGGTCAGTATTATTGGCAGTGTTGGCTCCAGATACATTTGCTTCAGAAAGTATTCACTTCACTTTTTGCACACGTTACAATTCTGTACATTTATTCTTAAATGGCTAAAATTGGCATTTTGTTACCATAATATGCACTTAATAAATGTCATGTAATAATCCTTGAGATAGAAGAACACGTGTTTCAAATTTAATCTATATGACACAAACACCAGTGTATAAAAGATACCATAATACACGCTGAAATCCAAGGAAGTCTTTGAAAATATTCACAGTAAAATTCAAAGTTCCTGGACAAAGAGTTGACCAGAAATCCAAAAGTTTCTGACCACAGCGGGTCAGACCAGAAACTAACAGAATATTGCTGGAGTGGTCTGTAGATGATGAACAAGGCTGTAGAAACATGTTTAATCAACTTAATTAATACAGTTAATTGAATTAACTTCAGCAACAGAGCACAGAACTGCAGTACTATAACATTTACAGAAGTGTGCATCTCATTCTGGTAGTGTCCTTCTCTAGTCAAGTCCAAAACGTGTGTATAACCAACAGCTGCTGAGTAACTGATATGTGTTCATCCAGTTTGACGTTGGCATCCCGTCCATGACCAAATGTTGTAACCAACATGACCGCTGCTATGACACCTGTGGCCGGGAGAAACACGACTGTGATAAGGAGTTCCAGGTCTGTCTGGAGAAAATCTGCAGGAATGTGCAGAGGACTCTGGGATTGGCCCAAACTGTCCAAGGTAAGAGAGCAGTGGTTTAGGAAATAATTTTAAGAGGTTGTGCAAAAAGGCAAACAGATTTTGTGGACTAAGTTTGCTTAGGTGCTACGTTTGGAGATCTTTATAGAAATGAATAGAAACTCAAGTAAAAAACAAATATATCATACCATATTATAGAGTAGTTTTGCATGTCATACAATACAAATCTGTTACAACTACAACACACATATTTGCTCTCTAAATCACTTGTTTGTGTTATGATTTGATTGGCTTTATTGAACATGCCGCTCTTACAGCCTTGTAAGATTGTAAGAGTGCTACGTTAGTAAAATTGGGAGGTTACTTTAAAGAACCTGTGAATCACCCACAGCTTGTTACACAGGTGATAAAACACATCTTAAACAGGGGGAAGTGCACTGCTTCAATCTGTTTAGATTAGCCAGTTAGCCAGACTCACTGTCACCCCGTGACACTTTATTTAAACAGAGGCATGGTGTTAGCAACTCAGCTTTTACAATCCTAAGTTCCTTTCAAGCCTTTTTCCTGCTTTTTTCACCATTTTATTCCAGGAAGTAATAAAACATGCTATAATACTGCACAGGAATGATGAATATTCCGAATGACTTGAAGCAGTCATTTTAGTATTAATAAAGTTTTAGCAATATGCATACTATAGCTGTAGCGGAAAGGTGTAAATGGAGAAAAGCCTCTGAGACCCAGCTGTTGTTAATGGTGCAAAAGGCACTGTTCAGTCATTCTTCTATTATTGATAAACTGAAGAAATTAAGAGTTTTGTAAGTGGGGTGATCTAAAAATCATTTTTGCTGTCTTTTTGTCTATATTTAGGACTAGGGGAAAGACCTTAGTCAGCGATTAATTCTATAATTAATCACTTAATCGCAGCCTACGCTGCTGTGTCTGTGAACACAAAAGTTATTCATGGAGTTCTACGAGGTTCTGTATTGAGTCTGATTCTGTTTATATTACCAGTATGCATGCTTCCCTGAGACAGTATTATTAGAAAACAGTTTCAGTGCTGTGCAGACTCCAGCTTTATTTATAAATGAAGCCTGATAAAAAAATTCAATGAGTTAAACTCCAGTGATGTATTAAACACCTGGATGTCCTGTAGTGTTTTTCTTATAAATTAAGACAAAACTGAGGTCATTATATTTGGCCCTAAGTCCTATCGTGTTATCTCAGACTGCAGGCTTACTTGTTTTTCCTAGAGTTTCTAAAAGTTGAATGAGAGGCAGAGCTCCCAGTTTGAATTTGGAACTCAGACACGTTCTCTAGTTTTAAGATTAGATTGAAAGAGTTTCTTTTTGATAAAGTCTGTGGTAAAGCTTGGTCAGGTGACCCTGAACCACCCTTTCAGGATCCCTTGCTGCTGTTCAGGCTCCTGCAGGATGTAATGTGATACACTGTGAGCACTTCTTCTCTACTCATCTCCTTTTATTTAACCCCACAGGTTTATATGCCACCGCAGCATGTCATTACATTTTTGCCTTCTCTCCTCCTGTTTCTTCCTCTTTTCTTTCCACTCTCCTCTCACCCACAACCAGTCATTCGAGATGGCTGCACCTCACTGTTTCTTTCTGTTAAAAGGGAGTTTCTTTTACTCCCGACCATCATAAAGTGTTTGCTGTACAGTTGTTACCCCACAGTTTAAAGCACTTTGAGGCAGCTGTTACGCTTCGGTGCTATATAAATGAGCTTGAATTGATGTGAGCTGATTTTTCTGTTCATATTATTTCTCGTGTTGCCTGTTTTACAGCATGTGAGTCAGCAGTGACTTTGCTTTTCGATGCAGTTATGCACTTGGGATGTAAGCCTTACCTGGACAGTCAGCGAGCGTCGTGTGTGTGCCAGTATGAAGTAAAGACTGAGCTGTGACGCCACCACAGCCACGAGACTGTCAGCTGACCCTTTCAGAAACTCAACACTAACAGAAGGATGCTAGCAATAAACTTTCTGTCTTTCTTAGATGTTCTCAGGGATAGAGCTACTGGGTTTGCACTAATCTGTGTCTGTTGCCTCCTTTTTTAGATGGAGAGTGGACAATTAATATCTTTCCTATGTCATTGATTATTTATATATATTGTTCAGGGTTTCTGTGGTTTGCCTTTAAACCAGCAGTTTATTTTATATTTCTGTGAAGTCTGCATAACTTCCTCAGAAGTTTACATTAAAAAAAGACTGTGACCATGTTCAGTTTGAACACTTCTGACTGAACTGTTTTAATTCAATGGGAAAAAAAACTGTTTTTACCCCTCAGCTGTAAAAGGATAATGAGTTTTGTTTTGTTGTTAAAATTAATGTACGGTTCAGCTTTCCCTGCCTAAAACATGTCATTTGTTGACAATGAGAAATATATTAAGTATATATAAATGTCGCTTCCAGTACCAAACCATTATTGGTTACTTTATTTAATTATAATAGATGGAGCTGTTTTGGGGGTTTTTTTTGTTTGTTTTATTTGTTTCACCCACCCCCAGAGATCAGTTCAGCGATTTCTTTTAAACTCATCACAACCTGAGTAACCTGCTAGAGCTTCGTCTAGATTTCCTGAAATCGCTTAATTTTCAAGATGTCATTAGCGAATAGTGAACTGTAAAAGAAAACAGCACAGCACATTTCCCTTTTCTGTGACAATAACAAGAACTTGTGATTAAGTTGATGTTTATCTCTACCGTATCTGAAGTGCTGACTGGTGCAGATGTGACTTGTAGAAACATCTTTTAAATTTGCAATAAAAATAGTTGTGCTTTAACTGTTACCTTGTTATCCATCGTTTTTAAGTAAATGAGTCTTTAAGTGTCTAAGGTGACATGTTTTAATCATATCTATATATATGTTGGATGAGGCCAGTGAATTTGCACAGGAGCAGATCCATCTACTGTTTGCAAAAGCCTCATCAGAAATGGTGTCAGTGGAAGGAAGGGTGGCTGTCAAGAAGCCATACTTTAATGCAGAAAAGTACCATTATGTTTTGATCTACCATGTAATACTGGAAAGTGTCTTACTGGCATTAGCTATATTTTTCAGCGTGACAAGGATCCCAAAAAGAGTCCCAGAAGTCCCAGTTCAATAAAAGCATACCTGCATAGAAAAACACACAGTGGAAGACTATCAATCATGGATTGGCCTCCCCAGAGCCCGGACCTCAATATTATTGAAGCAGTGTAGGATCATCTTGACATAGATTAGAACAAAAAAGCAACCAAGATTCAAAGAAGAGCTTTAAATGTCCTTCAAGAAGCCTGGAGAACTATTCCTGGAGAAGTTTTTATAGCAAAGATCAACCCAAATGAGCTTTAATTTACACCATACCTAAAAAAAAATGACAAAAAAACTCAGACTTGGAGGTTGTCAAGTCGGTGATTGATGAGAGTGTGTTTCATTATTTTATTTCATATAAGAATGCAGAATGTCAAACCACACTCCAAAATGGACCAAAACCTGCATCAGACATCCTACACAGGTGACCCAGCTGAGGTTGATCAAGCCCTGACTTGTGCCCCAGCAGAAACCACCCACAGGTCAGCCCTTTTAATCAAAACCCAGCTTCACTCATGGTTTTAATGGCCATCTTCTTTGCCTCTCCTGTAATAAAAAACCTGATACAAAATACCCAGCCTTTTTGAGCTGTGCTGACAGAGGGCCCTTTCAGTCTCTTCTCAATGGGCTCTTGGTACTTTGCATGTTTTGGCTCAATTGCTTCTTCCATATCCTCTTCCCAGGGCACTGCAAGTTCTGGCATAGTCAGCTGTTTTGTCTCTTCAGAGTAGATGATGATCTTGTGTAAACCTTAGCCCTTTGTTCAGATTGATATGTAACTGTCAGTCATAGGCCACAGAGAGAAGACTTAGATCCTCAGTTTTGATTTTGGGTAGGGTTTCTTTCCAGCTTTCATAAAGGCATCATCTTTATGGTGATGGTAAATGCTTTATGATGGTAAATGCCAGACTGTCTGCTCAAATATTTTTAGTCTGGTTTTCTGGTCTAACTAAAACATAACAAGAGAAAATCAATTAGATGTAGCATGATTTTTATACATGGGAAATAAACAGTTTAAATAAAGGTACAAAAAAAACCCTTGCTCGCAGTAGTGAAATTTTATTTAAGCAGAATAACCATGAGTTGATTACAAAAATTCAATTTAAAATTTTTCAGATTAATCAATTTTTCATTAACTAAAAACGTTAAACACTGTAACCTAAAATCATATATATCTTGATTAAGAGGATTTTACTTTTTCAGTTATTCCAACAAAAAACGTTTTCCTTTGGGCACATTTGGAAAGACATCTTTATGATTTTATTAAAAACTACATTAGGGGAAGTGAAGAAGGGGAGACTTCCTAGAAACTCCTGAGAATATTGTCGTCATATTGGTTCCTGATAAGATTGTCAAGTTTTCACCTCATCACATTAAACAATCTTACATACTATTAGCCTGACACACACTGACAAAGCGTTCCTGTTTGACTTTCCACTTTTGATATCAATATTTAAAGTTAGGTAAGAAAACAGCGCTTCCTTGTGGTCACTCGGTAGCACTACAGCTTAAACGAACACCTGCTGCAAACTGCTCCCTTTAACCGAGAAGGGTCTGGCTGCAGCCAGGTGCTCCTGTGGGCTTTAACCACCAAGAACAACAGCGGAAAGAAACGCATGTTGTGTCAGGTGATCACGTGACAGGATGAGGCAAGGCGGTAATGACCCAACCTCTTTAGGCCAAACAGCAAAAGCAAAGATTGAAGAAATCTTTGCTTTTGAGAAACTGGGTACAACATGTATACTGCAGTGCAAGTTTGGCTGTCAGAGCAGCCCGTACGCACCAAACGTTATAATGTCAACTGAAGTTTGTCATTACAGGCTGTTCAAAGGTCACACTGACTGTGGGTCTGAGCAGGCAGTTGAGTTGCAGCCTCTGTGTCGGTATCTGCTGCTGGCAGTAGAGACACCTCCCCTGCCCTGTAGGAGCACAGAACAGAGTGCTGCAATCCAATGAGATTCCGGTGGGCGGGGCTACAGCCTGGTTCTTCATTCATGATTTAATCTGGCAAATATGTTTTTCTCGCTGTGTCAGTCGGAAGAAAGGTCTAACAGGGCAGGAGACTATTGTACAGGTAACAGATTAAGATTTTTGTTTTAAATTGAGAATAGACGTGTGACCCATACAGGTGCTGTCACACCTTTGCCTTAAATTTGATCAGGTCAGTCACCTTTTGAATCAGGTGCCTCATGTTGTATCATTTACAAAGTGAAAACTTTTGTTTCTTTATGACCTTCCCAGGAAGTGTTCCTACACAGACGACCACAAACTAACAATATGACAGGTGAGCATTTCAATCCTACAAGCTTCTTTTGAAATAGGGAAGAGAGAATATTCCTACAAAGAAAAAGTGAAACAAACTGTAAAACAAAGCCAACAGGGTGACTTTAATCATCCACTTAACTTTCCTTTTGATTTGACTGTCATGCAGATAATAATCATAGTAAATATCATTCAAAGTGACTTGATGTCTTGAGGAAACTGACCTGCATAAATCTATAAAAGTGCTTCATATGCATGAATGGATATCCAACAGTTTCCCCCTAATTACCTGTGCTGGATTTAAAAAAAAAAGAAAAAGAAAATAAACAAATCATAGCTGCATGAAGGTTATTGAGGTTGGATTTTGCTGTGTCGCAGAAGATATACAGTTTATAGAGCGACAGCAGCATTCATGTCAAGACACCTTAGTATAATACATTTCTGCCTCAATGCCAGACACACCCATTCTGCAGAATGGGTGTGGAGAATAGAGCTGTTCCACACGGCTTCTGGTCTTTCAACAGTCTTTCTCCACCTTCCTCCGCCTGTAACCCAGCTATTGACAACTATCAGGACTCTGAGTGTATGGAAAAATGGCTACTTGACCCCAGCACTAGCAGCACTTATAGCTCTATGGTTTAACAAAAAAGAATATTGCAGTATTTAAATAAGCTGTAAAGCAAGATTTGCATTATTATTTTGTAATTCTTGCACTGGTTATTTACGAATGTGCTTTTTGATAATGTGCACAGAGAACCAAAGACAGAATGAGGTCACCATTGAAAGGTAAACACTATTAGCTGGAAAATCTTACTTTATTCTGGTACCAGACACTGAGAATGTTGCCTGCATTTACTGCAAATTGTTTACTCTAAAATCAGCTCCTCGGATGGTGCAGAGGAGTACCAGATGGGCAACAAACGACGAGGTCTTGCACTCATTTTTAACCAGAAAGACTTCTTCTGGCGCCTGGAACTGCCTGAGAGGCGTGGAACCAATGTTGATCGTGACAACTTGGAGAAAAGGTACAACCTTCTAGCTATCTGCTGAAGAACGAGGAAACCTGTTTTTGGCACAGCTTCATGCTCAAGAGCATGCCAGCACGTGTTTAGAGTTGTTGATCATTTTTGTGGTAAAACTGAATATTTTTCTTCTTTACTAGTATCGCCCCAGGGCTGCAATCTTTTACCTCTGTGCCCCAGGGAGTGCCAAAGACAATATGTCATATGCTATATTTTTTTAAGTTCACAGAGAACTTGGTGATTGTTTTTCTTCTTAATAGTGATGACCCTGATCACAATCCCCACTACAGAGTGTGATCGTGGCCCTATAGAGGTTGATTTCACACTGGTCCAAGTTATTCCCACTGCATCAACAACTGAAGAGATGGTTTTGGATTTTAGAAAGAATCCTATGACCGTCTCTCCTGGGGTGGTAATAGCTGATGCTTTGGAGTGTCTGCAGAAGCAGAAATATTGAGGCATTGAAATTTATAGGACTCTGAAAAAGGTCCAATCAATCCTGATCCGAGCAGATCCTTGTCTAAGGAATTTATATTGCTAATAAAGAACAATAAAAAAATTTTGACCATTGATCTGCTAAACTAATCAACTCATTTTCACTTTCTGTTCAGACTGAAGGATCTAAACTTTGAAGTGAAATGTCACAATAACCTCAAGCTGGAGGCAGTCCTAGATGAAATCGCCAAAGGTACCCACATAATCATTTGTTTCTCTCAAATGACCAGCATGCATCGAGATGGACAAAGAAAATCATCACCATAGTTTGAGTTCTTACATAATTCAATTTGTTGCTTTGCTGCAAAAATATCTTTGTCAAATCCAACTTTCGCTGCAAGTTTAACAAGTACTTGTTGTCCCACCAGCTGCGGAGGAAGATCACTCAGATGCTGATTGCTTTTTGCTCGCCTTCCTGAGTCATGGAGATGATAACCACGTTTATTGCCACGATGGAAAAATCAGTATCCAGGAGATCACGTCCAAGTTCAAAGGGGACAAGTGCCCGGACCTTGTTGGAAAGCCAAAGATCTTCATAATACAGGTACAAAACACAAAAACCCATACGAGTCCATCAGATTAACCTGGTGTAGCCATTTTTTAAAGATTCAACAGGTTTACAGTCATTCCAACTCATAACGTAGTCATGAGTCTCAGTCTGGATGTTTTGTTGTGTTGCATTCTTTGGGATGAGAGTTGGGTAAACAAAACTGTCTCATATGTGCCAAAAATGAGTTCCACCACTGCTGTGTCATCTGCAAACTTGACATTGTGGCTGAGCACTTATAAGAGAGTAGAGTGTGCAGCAGGGGGCTTATAACACATCCCTGAGGAGAGCCAGTGTTGAAGATGATGGAGAAGGAGGTGTAGGAGGAAGTGAAGTCTGTCAGTCTGTCTTCTGTTTGTCAGAAAGTCCAACAACCAGTTAATTTGA